CGCCCCCCACTACCACGGCCTTAAAAACCCCTCCTTCCCACTACCACAGGAGACCACCAAAACACCCCTCCTTCACTACTACAGGGCCACCAACACCCCTCCTTCACTTTCACAGGTTTTCAGCACCCTCCTTCACTACCACAGAGACACCAACACCCCTCCTTCACTTTACCACAGGAGACCTGCAACACCCTCCCTTCACTACCACAGGGCCACCAAACACCCCTCCTTCACTCCCCAGGGAACCACAAACACCCCCCTCCCCACTACCACAGAGACCACCAAGCTTCCCTCACTTCACTACCACCACCAAACACCCCTCTCCACTACCACAGGGCCACCAAGCTTACCCTCCTTCACTACCACAGGGAATACCAAACACCCATGTCCACTGCCCCAGGAGACCACCAAACACCCTCCTTCCTCCACCACAGGGACCACCAAACACCCTCCTTCACTACCACAGGAACCACCGACACCCTTCGTCTCTACAGGAGACTGCCAGCTTCCCCCCTCACTACCACAGGGACCACCAAACACCCCTCCTCCCCTCACAGGAACCACAAACACCCCTCCTCCCGCTACCACAGGAACCACCAAACACCCCTCCTTCCACTACCACAAGGCACAAGCTTCCTCCTCCCACCTCACAGGAACCACCAAACACCCCTCCTTCACTACCACAAGAACCACCAAACACCCCTCCTCCACTACCACGAGACCTGCAGCTTACCCCTCCCATCCACTACCACCAAGGAACCGCAAGCTTACCCTCCTCCCTGCCACAGAGGCCACCATGCACCCTCTCCCCACTACCACAAGGCCACCAAACACCCTCCCTCCACTACAGGAGACACAAACACCCTCCTCCCGCTACCACAGGGACACAACACCCTCCTCCACTACCACAGGAACCGCAAACACCCCTCCTCCACTACCACAGGGACCACCAAGCACACCCTCCTCCACTACCACAAGACCACCAAACACCCTCCTCCACTACCACAGACCACCAAGCACCCCTCCTTCACTACCACAGGAACCCATGACACCCTCCTTCACTTTCACAGGAGCCACCAAACACCCTCCTTCACTACCACAGAGCACAAACACCCCACCTCCTCCCACTACCACAGAGGCCACCAAGCTTACCCCTCCTCCCACTACCACAGGACCACCAAACACCCCTCCTCCCTTTTTACCACAAGAGACCACCAAGCTTACCCTCCTCCCGCTACCACAGGAACCACCAAGCACCCTCTCCCACTACCCACAAGAACCACAAAACACCCTCCTCCACTACCACAAGACCACCCCGACACCCCTCCTCCCACTACCACAGGAGACACCAAACACCCCTCCTCCCACTACCACAAGGCCACCACTTACCCCTCACCTCCCACTACCACAGGGCCACCAAAACACCCCACCTCCTCCACTACAAGAGACCACCAAGCACCCCTCCTCCTGCCACAGGGCCACCAAGCACCCTCCTCCACTACCACAGAGACCACCGGCTTACCCTCCTCCACTTCACCACAGGAGCCACCAAGCACCCTCCTCCCACTACCACAAGAACCCCTGCATGCCTCTCTGCAAGGCCACCAACACCCCTCTCCACCACAAGAACCTGGCTTTCCCCTCCTCCCACTACCACAAGAGACCTGCCCCTCCTTCACTACAGAGACCACCAACACCCCTCCCCTTCCACTTTCACAAGACACAAACACCCCTCCCCTTCACTTTCACAAGGGAGCCACCAAGCTTGCCCTCCCTTCACTTTCACAAGAGACCACCAAACACCCCTCCTTCACTTTCACAAGGAGACCACCAACACCTCCCCTTCACTTTCACAGGAACCTGGCTTACCCTCCTCCACTGCCACAGAGGCCACCCAGCACCCCTCCTCCCACCTCCCACAGGGCCACTGGCTTACCCTCCTCCACTACCCACAGGGCCACCAAGCACCCCTCCTCCCACTACCACAGGAGACCTGCACCCCTCCTCCACTACAGGGACCACCAAGCACCCCCTTCCTCCACTACCACAGGGATCACCAAACACCCCTCCTCCACTGCCACAGAGGCCACCAGACACCCCTCTCCTCCACTGCCACAGGGACCACCAAACACCCTCCTCCACTACCACAGGGACCACCAAACACCCCTCCTCCACTACCACAGGGACCACAACACCCTCCTCCACTACCACAGGGACCACCAAACACCCCTCCTCCACTACCACAGGGACCACCAAACACCCCTCCTCCACCACAGGGACCACCAAACACCCCTCCTTCACTTTCACAGGGACACCCAAACACCCCTCCTCCACTGCCACAGGGACCACAAACACCCCTCCTCCACTACCACAGGGACCACCAAACACCCCTCCTCACTACCACGGGGACCAGCAAACACCCCTCCTCCACTACCACAGGGACCACCAAACACCCCTCCTCCACTACCACAGGGACCACCAAACACCCTCCTCCACTACCACAGGGACCACCAAACACCCCTCCTCCTGCCACAGGGACCACCAAACACCCCTCCTTCACTTCCACAGGGACCACCAAACACCCCTCCTTCACTACAGGACACCAAACACCCTCCTTCACTTTCACAGGGACCACAAACACCCTCCTTCACTTCCACAGGGACCCCAAACACCCCTCCTCCACTGCCACAGGGACCACCAAACACCCCTCCTCCACTACCACAGGGACCACCAAACACCCCTCCTCCACTACCACAGGGACCACCAAACACCCCTCCTCCGCTACCACAGGGACCACCAAACACCCCTCCTCACTGCCACAGGGACCACCAAACACCCCTCCTCCACTACCACAGGGACCACAAACACCCCTCCTCCACTGCCACAGGGCCACCAGACACCCCTCCTCACTGCCACAGGGACCTCCAAACACCCCCTCCTCACTACCACAGGGACCACCAAACACCCCTCCTTCACTACCACAGGGACCCGCAAACACCCTTCCTCCACTACCACAGGGACCACCAACACACCCCTCCTCCACTACCACAGGGACACCAAACACCCTCCTCCACTACCAGGGACCACAAACACCCTCCTTCACTACCACAGAGGCCACCAAACACCCCTCCTCCACTACCACAGGGACCACTAAACACCCCTCCTTCACTACCACAGGGACCACCAAACACCCTCCTCCACTCTCCACAGGGACCACCAAACACCCTCCACTACCACACAGGCCACCAAACACCCCTCCTCCTCCACTACCACAGGGACCACTAAACACCCCTCCTTCACTACCACAGGGACC